AAAACTTGTGCGCTCACATAAAGCGAATCAGCACACACATGCACACATACAACAGCTCAGAACACTGTGTTTTCAGCCTCAGGACCAATCAATATGGCTGGGTGGTATTTCAACAAAGAATCTGAATACATACGTACACTCCATATCTGCTAGCGTTCTCTCACAGGATAACACTCCATACACATGCACTCGTCTTTCTATAGAAGTGAGGAACCTCAATGACATAATGCATTCACTAGCCACTTACCCTGAATGAATGACTGAATGTCACTTTTGGCTTTTTCCCGTCAGGGGTTGCCACAGCAAATCGTCACACTGACATTTGGCACGTGTTTTATGCCAGATGCCCTTCCTGACACAACCCTGAATCAAAGCCAGGCCAAAATGCCAAAATTTTCAATGCCAAAATGTCCTTACAATGAAGGCTTTTCTCAAAAGGTTGGGCACAACCATCTAAGAGAGGCATTGCAGGTGGATCTAGGAACAGAGATAACAAAAGAACAGTGGGAAGGAGCACATTTTCAATATTTGTCAGAGTCAGACATGGACTAATGCAGTTTAAAAACTCCAAGATATTCCCTTTAGTTAATCCAACCTGTGACCTGCATGGACAGACACCAGCCTCACTGGCTCATATGTTTTGGAACTGTCCAAGTGTCATGGGCTACTGGGTTAAAATCTTCCAACCAGTATCCAAAGTCTTACAAAAACCAATTGCACCAGATCCAGTGCTGGCTATTTGTGGGGTTAACATTACCTCTGCTAAGCTAACAATGTTAGACACCAAACATCAGCGCGTGTCTGCATTTGGGTCTTCCCCTAGCCCGAACCTGATGAACAAGTTAAACAGAGAAATTTGATTTCTTTTGTAATGTTACTAGCACAAAGACTGATCCTGTTAAACTGGGAACAGAAAAATCCACCTACCCATTCAGTCCTGTTCAGACAGGGGTGTCAAACTCCATCACACAGGGCCAAAACTCAAAGCACACTTTAGGTCGCGGGCCGAGCAGGATAAAAATGTATTGAACAGACTAAAACTAAATGTTTTTGCCTTTTTCTCTCATCTGAGAAGGAGACCAGGGCCCTGCAGGCCCCAGGCTTTGATGAACACCTTCAGGCTGCACTCAATTGCTACAGCTTTGCCATCAAGGTACTTGTGGTTTCTCATTTTAGTGCTTGAAGCAACACTTACACTCTAAAATATCTGGAAAGTAAAAGTAGTACTACATTCAGTGCATATTTGTATTATTTGTCGTGTATGCAATTGCAGGTGTACATTGAAATGAACCAGCCTATGATGGCAGCCAGCCTGTGTCTAGAAGTTGGCAATGCACTCAAGGTAAAGCTTTGCATCAGAGCTTCAAGCTGTCCTATAAGATGGATTCACTTGATTTTGCCTGAAGTTTATATATTTCATCTGAGATATTGATCTCAGCTCCTGCTCTGACTTCAACAGGAGATTAACAGACCAGGAGAGGCTATTGTTCATTTTCAGAGGGCTGCAGAACTGCAAACGCAGATGCCGATTGAAGCGCTGCTGTCAATGGGAGAAATGGCCACGTGTAAAATTATCACCCGTAAGTTTGGTCTGTGTATTCTCATCTGATTATGTTGCTGGTGCATGTTCTTTTTGCCTATATATGCTTTGACTTTTTCTGTAGTTGGAGCTGAGATCTCTCATGTTTTGCAGGTGACTATGATGGTGCTTTGTCAGTGTTCACAGAGATGCAGCTGATGTGCCAGGAGAGGGGACTGCAGCTGCCTGGCACCAGCACCCCAGTGGGTGAGTAAAATGATGTTTCAGAAAGCGGTGGCATCTTTTTAAAAAAAAAAAAAAAAAAAAAAAAAAAAAAACACAACACAAAACCAAAGAAAGCCATGCACACACATCCACAATTCCTTATCCCTCACAAATGGTATGGATGCCAACTAAGCCCCCGATCTCCAGAAGTAATAAGCCATCTTTTCACTGTCTCTCTCTCACGACCATGATATGAGACTGCTGAAAGCTCCTGTGCTTCCATTTTAAACCCCTCAACTCATTTAACAGGGCGCTGATTGTTATTTCTGTGACCACTGCCTTGTGGGTTGTGTTTGTGTGTGTTGTTCATAAATAATGCCCCGCATGCCACAGCCATGGGAGATCATTTGTTTTACATACTAATGTACACACACCCACAGTAGTGACAGTAGTAGACAGGATGAGAATGTGGTCTACAAAATGTTTTTAAAATACACAGGAGCTGAGTTAATTCTGCAAGCTAAAAAAAAGCAAAACACCGCCTGAATTCCCCCACACACATCTACTGGTCAGGCTCATAGGTATAGACACAAATGATCATTTTGGATGGATATTTAAAAGGAGATGATGCTCCCTCCCAGCACAGAGGGTGGCCTGGCCAGACTCCTTAACATTAACTTTGAGCCATGACTAAGTGTAAACAGGTAAACAGTTACAATCACACAACTAATATAAATTTTAAATAAAATATGACAATTAAAGCATAAAATGCCATACTCAATACCAATACTCAAACAAGGGACCTACGTATAACTTATCTACATCTACATGTTTTTTTTAACTGAATACATTTAAAGACATTTTTTAGACCACCAGACATGATGCCCCAGTTTGTGAAATTAGACGTGTGGGTGCTTGTGGTACCAGGAGGTGCAAGCATAACAGGCAGTGTGTGACTGAGCACAAGGCCGCCTGTGTGCCTGCCCTCCTCTTTTCACAGCTTCCTCTCTGTCGATCACATGAAGTGAAGTCAAAGAAAAAAACAAAGCCATGAAAAAAGAACTTAAGTGGTCATTTGGATTCTCTATGGTCCCGTACCCCCTCATTTCTGTCTCTGACATACAAGAAGCAAATGATAAAAAGCAAAAAAAAAAAAAAACAACTTTCACATTCCTCGTGTGCGTATCCTTCCCAGTGAATAGAGCATTAATTGCATTAGCATTACAGCTGGGTGATTTCCAGTCAAAGAAAAACTTAGGCATCAACAAGGAAGATATTTTCCAAGTCTTGAAGTATGTTATTATTTAGTGCATTTGAATTGAAAAATTTTTTGCATAAAAATTGGCATGACAGAAAGAGTGAAAGAAAAAGCGAGCATGAAGAGACGGCTGAAGCAGAAAGACAGGAAGATTGCACTGAACAAGTTGGCCAAGTGAAATTGTTCACCCTTGAAACTGTAACATTGGCTTATAACGAGTTACTACATTGTGACAATTCAGACGTCCTAAATGTAAAGTGTGACAGATGATAAATCGCTCTTCTCTGCATTTAGCCTAAAATGCAACTCCTCTACAGTATGAGAGCCAATCCACTAAAAAAAAACACTGCAATGTGTCCATTCAAACATGTCAGATTCTTATCCTGCTGGAGCAATGACATCATTGAGACAGGGGCCTTTTTAAGGTGTCCGAATGTACACAACTCTTTAGAGTTGTGGCCTTGGTAGTGAATGCATAGCACAAAGCAGCCAAAGCAATGTGCAGTCTTCTCCACATTCATTGTTGCTAACAATTATTTTCATTGCCGATTAACTGTTTCAATGACTTAATCATTTTGACCATGAAGTAAAAAAAAAAAAAAGTGAAAACATATTGCCACACCTTCACCATTTCCCAGAGCTGAAGGTAGCATACTTAAATTGCTTGTTTTGAGCACCAACAGTCCAAAACCTAAAGTTATAATCAAGATATAATTCAGTATCAACTAATCTGCTAATCCTTTTGACTCTAAAACTGTAAACTGGAAAAAAAAGAAAGATCAAAAGTGTCAGGAACAACCAACATTCATCAGGACAGTCATCGGCCTCATTCAAGATGGTGACGAGTCGGCCTACAGACAGGTTGAACAGCTGGCCCTGTGGTGTGGTCATAACAACCTGGAGCTCAACACATGGAAGACAGTGGAGATGATACCAGATTTTAGGAGAGTTTAAAATGTTCTCTCTTTACGAACAATATATTAACTGTTCACATAATGGTCACTGAAGTGAGGCCTTAAAGCTGTCCTCAATAACAAAATCCTGATTTCAGAATCATCTGGTGATTTTTTGCTTGTTCGTTCTCACTACAGTACCACAAAAGCACATGCCTGCCAGGTGTATGTGCCCCTGGTGGAGGAAAATTAATCAAAATGCTAAACAGTTTCTAGCTTAATTTCTCAGTGTTTATGCAAATGTGTCTGTTTCTCTGTCAATGTGTGTGCAGTGAAAGATCAGTGAAACAGTGACTAGGTGGAAACTGACATGGGGCAACAAGCTGAAAAGATGCAGACACACTCATCAATGTGAAAATGCGTTTTGTACAGCAAAACCCAACTGAAAAGAGCTTAAATGTTAAAAAGCTCTATAATTACTTTCTGGACTACACTGGATATGTTTGTGTGCACACCGAGTTTTGAAACCACCAAAGCCCTTCCACATTCTAAGTCACGTCACACCATTTGTCTCCTATTTTGGTAAATGGTCTTATACTTGTATAACGCCTGTCTATGCTTTTACAGCACACTCAAAGTGCTTTCACATTATTCGGCCATTCACCCAGTCGCACACCGGTGACATCACCGGGAGCAACTGGGGGTTCAGTGTCTTGCTCAAGGACACCTCGACATGTTGACTGGACAAGCCGGGAATCGAACCGCTAATCCTCCGGTTAGGAAACGACCCGCTCTACCTGCTGAGCCACACACAGATTTATTTGTTTTTGTTTACTTGTTTTTTTTAATATTCTTATGTTCTTATTTCAGTCACCAACCAAACTACTACTGACTGATTTGGTCTACCACTGCTATCCTTCATTTGACAAGATACAAGGTTTCTTCTTCCAGGAAGTCCTGGACAGTATATTATGTAATTGTTTTAATCAAATGTTTTTTGTTTTTTTATCAAATTCTCATGAAAAACCTACAAGTCATTTTTACTGGCTACAAAAAAAATAAAACTAAATTGATGGGCAAGTGTGTATGTAGAGTTTTTCAGTACTTGATTGAGTTTCTGAAGTGGTCCTCTGCAGGGCTCTTTACAGTGCAGCTGTTGAGCAACCACAGGTCTGCTTCTGATGGGTCATCTATAGAAAGAGAGACACTTTTTAGCAAACATAATCACAAAAATGACTGTATTAAGAGAAAAAAAACTTGAAACTAACCAATAAGCGCAATCGCAAAACAAATAGTCTAAAATAGTATTTAACAAAGCAGAGGGCATCCAAAAAAAGCTGAAATACTAAATTGGTCTCTGGCACAGCTCCTTGGTGTCTGAAACATGTAACAGGCGAACACATCCTCAAACAGCCACACTCAGATGATCCCATGGGTCATAAAAGGCTTTAGCCAGTATCTAAATTGTCAATTCAGTTCAAAGTTGGGTGTCATCTTCACACAGAATAGTCTTTTAAGTTCTTTACATTTTTTAAGGGTTTATGAGTTTAAGGTCTGCATGCTCACATCTCATCAAACTGATTTAATACCATGTGCACATGTGTTAGCTTGTGCTGATCCAAAACGCTGATATCAAGAACACACACACACACACACACACACACACACACACACACACATACACTGTTTCTGGTCCAAGGGCAACTATAAAGACACAACACCATTCATCAAATTATTCACAATGAATCACAAATCAAATCAAATCGATTCATTCATCTGTTCATATCCTCACTGAACAGTCAATATATTGGATGTACTTTTGACATGAGCCAAAGAAATATCTAGTGCAGTAGTGCTTGCATTTTAAGGCACTGATGTTATATGTTTCAATCTTTTAGGGCTTTCAACCACCCATTGATGGTGTTAATAGAAAACTACCTTACTTAAATATAGAAACAGCAGTTTGGGCCTTGAGATGTGTTAACCGAGTGCATCAGACAGTAAGCCAGACTCGATGCTCTCATAAAAAAGAAGAACAGCAGCATGTCTAATAAAAATACTAAGACAACATGAGTTACACTGGTCATCAGTTGGGCTTGTTTATCTGGGCAAAAACAAAAACAGAGGCAAAAACATAGGCTACTGAGTAATCCTCAATCTCTAAAATGCAAAAAGCCTTCAATATTGTGTGTGTGTGTGTGTGTGTGTGTGTGTGTGTGTGAGTGAGAGAGAGAAGGATCAAGTTCAGCTGGCAAAGTGTGCCCATTATGCCTACCTTTAGTTGTCTGGGCAACCAACACACACACACACATACACAAACACAGGACTAGGGGGAACTGGTCTCAGCTGTGTGGTTGCTGTCTCCTCTTTGTCCCAAAGGAGGCTTTACAGACCAACAATAACAAGTTCTCCATCAATTTAACACACTCACACACAACACAAATACAGCACAAACATCTGCAAAACAGCCGTATACAGAGTGACCACAACTTAGCAGAGCACAAATAAAAGCTGCACAAAAGGGAAAACTACAGCAAACAGCAATGCAAAAACAGGCTGGGGTTGCAAAGCTTAGATGCTATAATTTTAAAGCTTCTTTTTACTCAACACCTTCTGGAGTAGGTTAAACCTCAAATGAACCAACTCACATATATTGAATTGGCTCAGCACTGACTGTTATTTAGGCCCATATATTAGTCCACCACTTTTTCATTGATTCATACAGTCTGTAAATTGTTATTATGAAGTTACCAAGTAGTAACATAATAATCCCTGTGTTTTTTAAAGCGCAAATATGTGCAATATGACATTAAACAAAAGCAATTAATTAAAAGCCAAACTATAATTCATAAAATCAATCAACAATTTCAGTACTATATTCAGTATTACTCCCATAACCCTTTGCTGAGCTTGCCCATGACACAAGTTATACAAATAGCTCTTGTTCACATGATTTTAAAATCCCTGTTTTTCCATCCCTGGAACAAGGCAGCCATGGATTCTGTCCAAACATCAATTGTAGTTTAATCCCCTAAGGCCCTTTCAGTTCAGGACGTGACAAGAGCAACAGCTGTTCTTGATCCAACACTGGTCTCAGCAGATATGCACTGCAGCAAGTAAAATGGTCTATCCCTGTCCAGTGGCAAAAACATGACACAGTCAAAAATGAGAGGATCTGTGCCAGTTTCACATTTGTGGCAGCCACATGCTCTCTCGTTCAGTGCCACTGCTGCTGCCAGTGAACTGAGGGTCAAGGCCCCCACCAGGCTTGGAAATTATCCGTGGAAGCAGATGCTTCCCAGTTATAAAAGGCTTTTAGATGTGTAATCTCATGGGGAAATGCAGAACAAGGCACAGATGGCAATTTGTTTTTTTGTTTTTTTTTACCTTGTTTTAGTATGTTTGTATGGGAAAACCAACTAATTATTTCTTATAATCCCAGTTCTTGTCATTTCTTGAACTATAGGACAGAAATAGTTCATAAATCCCTTGATTAGGTTTAGGGTAATGTACTGCAGTACTACAGTCTGAACCCCAGAGCTATAGCTGTGATGCAAGGCCATCTCTGGAGGATTGTGTGCTACAACAGTGGGATTAAACACAGTGGGAGAAATCTGACACCCAAGGGAGCTGAGTGTGTTTGCTTTAGTAAGCCTAAGCGAAAGTCTGACGAGAACAGGAAATCTAAGTGATAGCAGGCTGCAGTTTGGTCGGTTACAGTATCTGTTACAGTTTTGATCTTAAGGCTCTGTGCTTCAGCACACTCACTTTAAACTAAAATACTGGATACTACATAAAGGTGCCAAGTCTCAGCTTTAGTTTTAGTAAGTTTAGATCAGTATAGACAGAAATGTGTGGAAGACAGAAACCTTTTAACACATTGTGGCCCAGTTGCAAAGGTTCAAAAATAATTGGATGCTAAGCTACTAAAATGTTTGTTGGGCAGCTGCGACATTAGTTCAGGAACAAAAGAGGTCACAAGTGGCTCAGTGCTGATTAAGAGATGAGATGGAGTTGTCAGAACATAAAATGAGGCTTTAAAAAAAGAGATATCAAAGGTAGTTGCTTTTTCCAAAATCAACAGTTGGCTTCATTTTAAAATAAACAGATGATCTCAGGAAAACTAGAAAAAAAAATACTACTCAAATTAGAGCTGACACTTGGCACTTCAATACATTATTCTATTTCAAATTGAACATACTAAAGTACAGAACCTCAGTAACCAAAGATGTGTAACTGTCCAAATACTTGCTGTCTAGACTGCAGAGTGTTTACCACGTTTCAATACAGTATATATTGAAAGTATTTACATGTACACAGACTGATTAAAATAAGACAAGTAATCTAATTTTAAAGAGCACAAACTAAAATTAGACTTAAATAAAATTTATAATAACAGGGAATATTAAGCCCTGTCTGCCACATCTGTTTCCTGCATTTAAAAGCAAAAAAAGAAAAGAAAAGCAAACTAAAGCTGTTGCAAAGGCTTGACCAAGTATAAATGAAGGTGCATCACCCTGCCTCCTGCAAAAGAACTCAACTCAGTCGGACTGGGAGCCTGTGGAAAATGCAGAAAGCTGCAAGAATCTTTACATGGACCTGATTTAGTACCAGTAGCTTGCAGCTCAATATAAACTCATAAGGTCACATTTTAAATGAGATGTAGCCTCTGCTCTGACATAACTGTGTATGTGAGGTTGAAAAACTGTATGCTGAGGTAAATTAGATGCAGAGCAGGAAAGACTGACATTGATGGTCCAGAAATGACATGAGAAATCATTCATCTTCACAGTTGCCACCACAATTTACTGCCTGGAGACATTCTTATTCCTCCATGAAAATCAGTTAAAGGAATAATACCACAAGCTTATGGAGAGCAGTGACAGTGGCTGTCACATTCTTGGTGACTGCTGCCTCTGCTGAGTGAACTTCATCTAATTTGAAACATATCAAGACATAAAGTATATGCTATCATCCATGGCTCAAAAATACACTGCCTTGGCTATCATTTCATACATGTAGCAGGCTTGAGACCTACTTCCTGGTGTTAGCATGAGCTGGCTAACTTGAGAGCCTGACTGGTTTGTTGGAATAAATACTAAGACAGAGGTGTTTCTGATGCAGTATAAAAGAAAGCAGAAGTCTGGCTAGTTATCTGGTGAACTGTTTGAAATGTCTGGTGGCTACAACAGCAGTTGAAATGTTTGCTAGTGTTAGTGATTGTTTGGTAACAGTCAGCCTGAATTGCCCCGAGTAGATGAAGGGTGTGTCGGGTATGTGGGTGCAGGCAAAGAAGAGGTTGGTCTGGAATGCTGGGCACACTGTTGAGCCTTCTTGGTGTTGTGGGCCCAATTCAACAAAACACCAGTTAGTGAGAAGGTGCCACCCGATGAACCAGTAAACCTGCATTCACTCTTACACCCACAAAGAACTTGCACTGGTGTTGGTGATAATATAGTTGCTTATTGTGGGGCACTGAAGCTTTATGATGGAACAGCCTGACACCTCTTTGGGGCCAAATATTGGGTAAACATCATTTAACCTAAATTATGAGCTTCCATATTAATGGTCTTCCATTCTTTGGCACATTTAATTGTGTATTACTGACAAATTTGGTCATCAGCTACTTCAATTATTCATTGCACCCGTACACGCAATTATCATAAACACAGTCTTAAGCAAACGCATTCAATTGATGCCAGGAACATGATCAAACAAGCAGAAATGCAAAACGATATACTGTGCACAAGGAAAACTGAATAAAAACTGTGGTTAAAGTGCACCTACAGGAAAACAGAGCACTATATGTTGAGAGTCTGGAGCGGACTACCTTCTGAATAATAACTGATGGCTCCCAGCATATGTGTTTTTCTGTTGATCTCTACATCAGTGTGGGAAAGCAGCCTAGGGTAAACTTCAGTGACTCAGCATCAAGTTCCAATAAATTCCTACGACACAAAGAAATGCTTATATTTGTAAATCTATAAAGAGTCAAGTTTGCATAACATTTGCATATGTATGGAAGCACAGCCAATGGCAGGGGTGTGATTTGGTTATTTTTTTCATATCATGGCCATCAGGCAATTACATGGCAAGTTGTCAAAACAGAATGTGGGCAAAAACTTATGACTTATTCTTTTATCTGATGAAGAAAAGGCACAGAGGGCGAGACAAGCACCCTGCTTTATAT